CTTTTCATTTTAAGTTTTGACCACATTCCTATTTATCGTTGTAAATATAATAATCCCTATTCGCGAATATTCAAAATATTCAATAGAAGAAAAAATTCAACGATCCTATCTCACAGATTTAATCACGAGGTATAAAATGCACAAGCATAATTAGTGTATACTAAAACGACGAGCTGAGGTTTATATTCAAACAGGATGTTAATATTTTATAATAATACCGATAAAATTTGATCATTAAAACCTGGTAACACGGGTGCGCGTATATAAATATTTAAATATACTAATAATATATGTTAATAATATATATGAAAATATTTGACGTTACAAAGTAAATTGCTCAACGTTGATTACACGATCGTTTGCTTCGGGAAAAAAATCATGTAATTGACTTTTTCTTTATATTATAGCTATCTTATATATAGTATGCACCCTACGACAGAAAATAATGATAAATAGAAGAAAAAGAAAAAGGTAAAAATAAAGAGAAAACTTCGTTTTTTTTCTTATTTTTTCGTTCCTTTTTCTTGTTAAACTTTTCTTTTCACCACGGACCAACGTACATTCAACGACACGACTTACATTACTTTATTCCCTTGGTTTCCCTTTAAAAGTAGTTTCGAACGGATTGAAAATACACGTGCAAGTAGAAATATTATGTCAGAAATCGACACGTACTCTAAAAAGTAAGGAACCTGTCCTAAGCTAAACTACATACATCAGATAGGAAAAGGGGAAGAAAACAAAAGGAAACAAAAAAGTAGAAAAAAAAGAAGAAGAAGAAGAAGATGCAAGAGAAATATGACTTAGTCGATGATGCAAGATGATCAATAGAAAAAGAGATAAGGAGAGAAAGAGAGTGAGAGAGAGAGAGAGAGAGAAACGAAAAGCGTGCCGTGGACAAGTCTATCCATCTTGCTTGGCTGACAAATCTGGGGAAGTGGAGTCTTCGGTACACAGATCCTCTCTTGGGGTTCGTTAGCAAGAAATTCTACGGATTCACCTGTGACTCTCTTTATCGTAGGAATGTCTACGAACTAACTTTGAGTACGATCAAATAATAAAACTTACTTAGATCTTAGAATTACCAACTTTTTTACTGAAGATACAAAAAAAAAAAGAGAGAGAGAGAGGAAATGAAAGGGAGGAAGGAAAGGAAGGGTTGGAGGATAAAGAAAGATAAAAACGAAGATAATTTAACGAAACAAAAGGAGGAGGATCGAAAGTGAGCATCGAATCGAAGTTACTCGCGAGACAGTGACTAATGATGGTCATTATCTGAGAAACGCATCCACGTTTTCTCTCCTTCTTTATCCCATATCTTTCTCTTTCTATCTCGTTATAATCGTTCTGGGAAAACGTTAATGCTTAAAGAATAATGCAGACCGAATAGAGTGTGGTACTAGGGTAGTAAGACGAAAGAGAGTAAAGATAATTGAATCCGAAGTTGAACTTTCTTACAAACTTGCACGGATATTGCAATGTATTGGATATGCATGTGGATATGTGTATATGTAGAAGTATATATATACATATAATAAAGATATAGGTAATTTTAACAATCTATCTATTTGCGATCATACTTTTCCATTCACTCATTTCGATTCGTTTTAATATCTCCCTTATTTGTACCAAATGAAAATAGAAAAAAAGGAAAAAACATTTAATCCTTAAATATATTCGTTTTCTAATCATAAAAACTTATAATAATTCCGTCGTTTACTACGTTTATATTTCAAAGTAACAACGTATGTTGTTATTTATTACTTCGCTAGAATCTAAAGTATTTTGTTTGTGATAAAATGCTACGAAAGAATTCAACGAAAGAATTCAACGAATGCGATTAATTGTAAGTTTTGAAATGAAAAATGAAAGGGGAAAAAAAAAAACGTATTTTATTCATTATCAAGATTGTAAATTACCGTGCATCACGCATTATCATTCATCGACTGTTAACAAGTTGTATTTATATAGAATTTTAGTAAAATCAATTGAGAACGTTTTATTTGTTGATATTATATCTTACTCTCTTTTGATGTTTACTCTTTCACGCTGTTTAATAATCCCACTGAAAATTGTTATTTAGTGGTTGGAAAATTCGCGAAAATCATTAAAATTTTTAATTGCAAATATTTAACGAATAGGTATTCAAAATGAATTTTCAAACAGTTACCAAAGTAATTCTTCAAAGGCAACGCGTCTAGAGATTTTCGAATTAAATTGGAAAAACAAAAGGAGAACAAAAATATATGAAATAAAACAAACAAACAAACAAACAAATAAGCAAACAAAAAAGTAAAGGAGTACTTTTCGACGTCGAACGAATTGACATTGGGATTTACTGTTTCGATTTTCATTATTTCCACGGAATAGTACATACGGACCCTCGAGTTATTGACGCGTTACAAAGCAAATGCATGAGAAAGTGTTTTTCGTGTGCAATGTAACGTGAAATATAATATAATATAATATATAAATATATTCTTTTATATTGTATAATATCAATAAAAAATTCTAGAAATCGATATGAAATATTGCTTTGCGAGTTTTATGTACAGGAATAAAATCTGTTTCATTTATTACGATTCCTGAACACACTGATAATAAATAAACAAATATACACAGACACACAATATTAACAATATTAATTGTATACCCTTTTTTTTCTTCTAATATCGTAATTCGTTCCCAATCAGAATGATTAAATTTTCGTTTATTAAATGACATCGTTTTTAATTAAAAATGCTTCATCATTTATGTATTATAAATCGTACGATCAAAGAACGATTTAATCAACGAAAAAAAAGAAAAAAAAGTAGAAAAAGTTAAAGCAAACGCCGATAGGAAAAGTCGAGTTGTTCGCACAACGTTGCTACGTCCATTCGTAGCTGCGTCTACGTAGAAGGCTAATTGTGATGTCGATAGGGGAGAGTGAAGACATCGTTACATTGTACATCACCCATTTATGGGAGAAATCTGTATCTGGTTCTTCGATTCGCATGAAGATAGAGCCGTTTCGAACGAAAGTCGACCTCCCGTGAGTATCTAGTATTTTCTAATGAGATTTCATCGTATGTTTCTCGATCGATCCATCCATCTCTTCGTTCTCTTTTTTTTCTCCCCCTTACTTCATTATATACATAATAAATTATACAGCAAAATACAGTTGTACTGTATATACAGAAAGTAAAGTAATTAAAATATTTGTTAAACGAAAGTTATTCATTATGGGTTTCCATTTACGACAAAATTAATTTGATCTTATAAATAATGAAAAAAAAAAAAAAAAAGAAAATTGTTAACCGAATCATAAATAAAGAAAAAGTTTTTATACGTTGAAAAATTTCTCTTAGTAGAAAAATATTTTTATCAGAGATATTTATATTTAAATTTTAAAAAGCTCATCCTCTGTATATGCCATATATATATATATATATACGTGTTTATCTGAAAAATATATTAAATGTAATAGTAACTAGATAAAAATTACAATATTAAATAATTAAAATGAAGTAATAAAATGTAATTTTTCGAGATAGATAACATCATTCTTGCTTGAAAATTCAACAGGATATTAAATCGTTTATATAATAAGTACGTATGTGTATATATACATATAATATAAATATCTGAAAGATGTATATTAAAATTAATCATAAGATAAGATTAGAATATTAAAATATTAATCATATAATTTCTGATACAAAATTCAACACAGGAGATTAGATCGTTAATATAATAAGTATCTATGTAATATATAAGAAATAGAAGTAATAAAGGATAATTATCAGAGAATCGATGTAGAGGAAAGTGTTCGTTTAAGTTAATTTAACTTAAGTGATGTTACGATAAAGAAAAAGAGATCCCATAGCTCATTGGTTACTTGAAGTAAACTCAAGGTAGCTCATGAAACATGGATCAAGAGTCGCCCCAGGAAGAAGCAAAGAAATCGGCCGCCCGTGGAGCCGTCGATGATGATCACCGATATGACTATAAAATGTTACTATCCATGAACTCCTTACAACCCGGTGTGCTACAAGAAACGTTTCCTGGCGCTGTTGGATTCACGGAAATTAGTACCACCGAGCACGATGCGTGCTCAGCAACTTACTGCATATATTTCTCTCCCTTTCGTTCTTCCTTTCTTTCTTTCTTTCTTTATTTATTTATTTATTTCTTTTTATGTAATCTTTCTTTACTTCTGCCTTTATTTCTATCTCATTCTCTTAGAAACGATCGCGTTCTCTTTCAGCAATGTTGTAGATCGTCTTCATCCATAACGCGCCCAGTTTTTCTAACACCATCAAGATCTATCCAATATTTTTATCCTTCCATTTTTGGATTTTCCAAATTTTCCAACATTTTATAAAATTAATAATACAAAAATTTTTCTTTTTTTAACTATACAAACCCCTCTCTCTCGCATCGGTGAAAAATAATCGAATGGGGATGCGTCATAGTTTAATTAAACGATACAAAAGTCACTTTAACCGAATCAATCAATTATATATATTTTATTTTTGCTAGATATTTTTGAAGTGATGGCATAGTGAAGCCATACATTTTTTTTTAACAAAACACATTGATAAATGAATATTGATTTTTTTCTTCTTTTTCTTTCCTCTGTAAAGCGAGTTTTGGGACAGCCTGTATTATATAGATTGTACAATTAATTGGAGAATAATTTGAAGGATTTGATATTGTTCTTTGAAATCATATGGATTAAATTGTATTGATTTAAATGAAATATATATGAAATTTGAAAATGAGTTTCGAAGTTAATTACGGCGCCAATGTACATAAAAGAATAAGTGTGCGTAAGTAAGTATATACATATACGACGAAAAAAAGAGAGAGAAAAGCCAATGAATAATGGACAAGTTGAATACTGTAGAGGATAAAATTACACGCGGTCTGCAACCAGCCAAGAGAATTCGTAGAAGACGATCGGCCGTATTTAAGTAACATACATCTCCTACGACATATACAGGTGTGCCAAGGTAATATAGTCTTGAAATTACCGCGAAATTCATCGGTAAAAGGACCGACGAATTCGTCGAATCGAAAAATTAAGAAGGTTAGCGTGACTTACGTTCGGCACGCGTGCCCAATAAGATACAACTCACTCGTAATCTTATTTCGTGTTACTTTTTTCCAATTCAAGCAACCCCATCAATCCTTTTACTTTGACTAACGACGAGTCCTACCATTCTGCTTGCAGTTTCATACCAATTTCTTTTTAACCCTTTATAACGCCTTGTAACTTTCGAGTCACTTGTATATATATACAGGGTGAGATAAAAATAGCTTTCCTTAGAGTTTTTCTACAAAAACCACAAGATTTGGATGAGTTATAACCGTTGATAGAACAATCACTCCAAAACTTAAATACCAATCTACAGTTGTAATTTGCCCCATATGTAAAATTAATAATTTATTTCATACCTGTAATTTCAAATATTGGTTAAGTATTAATTATTGAACGTATGTTGTTTAAGTAATTTAAAAAATTATTCTTAGTACAGTGTTTTTTCGTATTATTATATTACATACCGATATTTATTATTTAATCATATATATTTATATGTGTAAATCAATTTGATATATTTCTTCTTGAAAACTTTTTGCAACAAACTTCTCTCGTTTGCGAGGGAAATTTCAAAACTATTCGCATCCTTCAAATACTTCATAGTGGCGCCCTCTCGCTGATAGAAAGCCAATCTATTTCGTGATCTACTTTGTTGTTTATACCAATATTAAAATATTATACAACTCGTAAGAGTAAGTGTACAAACAATGTTATCAATTATTTTGTAATATCTGAAATCATTGCTATATAAACGTTTGATTGAACTAACTTAATTGATTTCAGAAATTTTCTTTCGTAAATTTGAATTTTTCAAAGTAATGTATCGACGTGAAATTTTCTTACCTTTATCATCAGTGAATAAGATTCAATTTTATATATAAATAAATAAAAAGTATTATTCTGTCCTTTTTTTTATATTAGTCAATAATAACTGATAAATTGTTCACTTTTATAGAAGACCGAATCGATATGATCGTTAATGCAAATAGGTATATATGTAGACAACTTCATGTAATGTGTAATTAGAATTAGAGAAGAGTGCGCTGCAAGTCAGTCCGGTTTTTGAAGAAATATGGCGGATGTCGAGGTAAGTCTGTCACGTGGAATTGAAAAGATATAAGATTTTTAATAAATTACTTAAATTTTATTAACGTTTTTCTTACAGCTGACTAAAGCCTTAAAAGATTTACCTAATCGAATTCAAACCGCTAGTAAAAAAGAGCGGCGAGAGATTTTACAAAATGTCGTCGATGTGTTGTCAAATCCTGGTAAGATAACGTTTCATTTTATCTAAAATTAATTTGATAACGTTTATATTAGAAATATAATAGAAATTAATCAAGATCTATAATGTTTTAAGATTATGCGTATATACTTTTTCTATATGTTATTAAAACTAATACGTCCGATCAAAGAATTTGTTACCAGTTGAATCTACATCATTTCATGTGCTGCTTGTACTCCATGTAAATACTATATACTAATTTATACTATTTATTTATTTCAGGCATTAATGATAAAATTGTTTATGGAATTTGCAAAGTTCTCTCCCTTACTTTGCATCGATACAAAGATACAGCTTCCCAATCTTACGTGAAAAATGTCATTACAAAGTTATTGGCAGAGCAACCAGAAGCCACCGTGAAGCATATGACAAGTGTTATCGCAGAACAAGCTACTTGGCATAAGAATGTGGTTTCTACGTAAGATTAACATTGCATCATATATTATTTTATTCTATACATTTGTATTAGAAAATAATTTTATATATGCTAATGTTACTTATATGTTCGTTGCTTTTAGCTTAAATACTGCTTTAACTGCATACCTTGCATTAAAATGGTCAACGCTTGTAATACTACATGGAATCAATAAGAATTTTGAAAATTGCACTGAATTAGCAAAACTTATCGAAGCGCAAGCCAACTTAAGTGCTGCTTCATTAGCATCTATGGATAAAAAGATGTCGTATAAAACATACGCATTACTTGCACATGAATGGTCATCTGTTAAAAATATCGAAATTAAATATGTAGAAACATTAGTCAAACTTGAGATTGGAAATGGTGTAATTGTACTTGCAAGCTTGCTCACTAAATATTTAGTGAATACAAAAAAAAGTGAACTTATAGAACAGTTGAAGGTAATAATTATTTATATAATCCTAATATTTGTGATCATAATAATTTTTATAATTATAAAAAGGTATAATATATGTATTTGTTCGTTTCAGAAAAATGTGATAGATACATTTATAAAAGTGACTATCAGTTCAAAGAAAAAACCAGATCTATATGTGGTTGATACAGCAGTTCCTCTTCTACGTAGAATGTCACATGAAGAATTTAAGGTTCAATTATTACCAGCTTTACAAAAAGCTATGTTAAGAAATCCTGAAATAATAATTGAATCAGTTGGACATATATTAAGTGGATTGAGTCTTGATCTAAGTCAATACAGTCAAGATATTTGCAAAGGATTATTTGCTAATCTACATTCTAAAGAAGATCTTGTTAGAGAAGAAGCAGTAGGAGCATGCCGTAGACTTGCTCGACAATGTTCAGATACAACTGCTTTAGAGAGTTTACTTGCTTCTTTATTTGCTGTATTTCATGGATCTGAAGGAAAACTAACCGTGGTGACTCATAAAATATCTGTGTTGCAAGGGGCAGGTAATTTGAGTTACAATGCAGCTTCAGGAAGTAGTGTTCAACGATTGGCAGAAACTGCATGCGAACATTTCATTAAAGTTCTTGAAACAGAGGTTCATGAAAAAACGCTGATTCATGCATTAGATATGATGGCATTGTGGTCTAACAAATTTACAAACAGTTTCCCCCAAAGCGTAATAGATGCATTTAAAAAAGGAATAGCAGCCAAAACTTCTACCGCTGCTGTACGTACTGCTTATATAAAACTTTTCTTCTCTACTCCAGTAGACTCTTATGCAGGAACAATCGCACCTATTCTAACTCAAGCTATAACAAGGGCTATACAACAAAGTTCACAACCTATGCCTGTCACTGAAGGATTAGTGGCATCATACTTATTACTTAAATTTGTATTAGCTGATCTAGTAGAAAATGATAAACAAACAATATTATGGAATGCAATAGACGAACAAATATTCTTTTCAGAAAAATTTTTAACTACATGTGGTGATGATACTTTATACCATCTTATGCTATTATGTGAACGTCTTATTACTGAATTTGTTGATAGGCTCAATGAAAAAGCCTTAAATGGAATTCACAGAGCTATTGTAGCATGTTCAACAGCACCAAAGTCTGCTATCAGAAAACGTTGTTGCCCATTGATTAAAAAAGTTTTAACCGGTTTAAGTACATATGCACCAGTTGAAGCACTTTTAGTAGAATTTAATAAATATCTTAATAACGTCAAGATCAAAATTGAAAATGATAAAGATAATAAAGAAGATACGTTTGGCGAGATTACTGGTAGAAGTTTGGCAGATGGATTACTTGCTATATGTTCTGGATCATTTCTATTTGAATTACCTGCTATGCAATTGACTCGAGATGCATTAATCCCAGCACATCATCCAGCGATATTAAGAGCAGTTCCAAATTTATGGTTGAAAATAGCTAAAAATTTTAATCTAGTACCCAAGGACTTTCTTAGAACTTATAGTAACGAGATCAAAAAGTTACTTATACAAAATTACAATCCTGTACCAAGTTATGAGAATGCGCTCGCTAAAGTATTACAACTATCACCCGATACTATTTTACCTACTTTAATTTTAAATGTGACAAATAAATTAAACGATCAAGAAATTTTAAAAGTCACTAAAGATGAATATTTCACTTATCTTACACCCGAAGGAGAACTTTATGATAAAAGTGTATTGCCAACTAATGATGAAAATGATATATTAAATGCTATGAATATGAAACGAGAAAGTAAAGTGTATTCATTCAAAGAACAACAAGAGGAATTACAACTTAGACGTGAATTGTATGAAAAACACAAGAGAGAAGGAAAGATAAAGGAACCGAAATTAACAGCAAAACAGGAAGAAATTCTAAAAGCACAAATTGCTAAGGAAAATAGTATTAGAAAGAGATTAACTGAATTAAAATCAAAGATAGATCATGCGGTATCTTTGATACTTTGTGCTATACGGGGAAATGGCCAGGAACTGTCTTTATATCTAAAGGATATATTATCTCCTATTTTAAAAAATTTAGGATCCCCATTAGCTGCACCTGCTATATCCGAGCTTTATATTGAGTTACGAGAAATAGTTCAAATAGGTACGGATACGACATTAGGAAATTTGATAGCACATGTTACATTACGACAATTACAACCACAGTGTGATTTAGATCCAGCATGGGAAGATGAAAATTTAGACGTAGTTGTCAAAAGAACGTTAAATTTGATTCATACGATTACAATTAAGCAAAAACGTTTGTTTACGGCTCCCGCATTTTGTTATATCTTTCCTTTTCTGAAGAAAACTTTATTGATGTATGAAGATGATGTTATGATAGCACAAGGATTACAAATAATTCAGGATCATGCCAAACAAAGAGGGAATAGTTCAGATTTGAAAGATATGAGACATCCTAGATTATTACCTAGAAAACAAATATTTGATTTACTTATAGAACTTATGAGTAGCACTACTGGAAGAGTACAATCACATGCGGTAGCAACATTGCTAGATGTTGCTCAATCTGGTAGTGGGCAACCCGGTACAGCTTTGGCAACAAGTGATGATATAGATTCGTTAATCGGTGCTCTACAAAATGCATTACCAGCAGTAAGAGATGCGGCTTTAAGAGGTCTAACTGTAATAAGACAAGCATTTCCATCTCAGAAAGAGGATCCTTTACAACTACTTCGTTTAACAAGAAGAATATGGATCGCGAGATTCGATGTTTGTGACGAGAACAAAATCCTTGCTAACGAATTGTGGAGTGCTGCTAATTTACTAGCTCATGCTGATATTCTTTGCGATAATTTGATTGAAGACATCGCACATCCGGTGGAACCAGTACAGCAAGCCGCAGCATGTGCTTTGGCTCAAAGTTTGACCAATGTACCATATTTGACTCCATCGATATTGGACAGATTATTAGAACTGTATCAAGAAAAATTAGCTATGATTCCACCTAAACTTAACGATTTTGGTCGTGTTGTGGAACAACCGATTGATACTTGGGCACCACGTCGCGGTGTAGCACTTGCTCTAACTCAATTAGCACCACTTTTAACGTCAGAAACTATTCAACGTCTTGTACAGTTCTTTGTTTCAACAGGCTTAGGAGATAGAAACCCATCTGTTCGCACAGAAATGTTGAATGCTGCTGTAGCAGCTGTTGATCTCCATGGAAAGAAAAATATAACTTCTCTTCTACCTGTCTTTGAAGATTTTATGGACAAAGCACCTAAAATTGGAAGTTTCGATTCAATAAAACAATCTGTAGTCATTCTGATGGGTTCATTAGCAAGACATTTGGATAAAGACGATCCACGTATCAAACCAATCGTGATGCGTCTTATTGCAGCTCTTTCAACACCAGCTCAACAAGTACAGGAAGCAGTTGGTAATTGTTTACCACATCTTGTACCTTCCATCAAAGAAGATGCTCCTAAGATTGTTGATAATCTTATGGATCAGTTATTGAAATCAGACAAATACGGAGAACGTAAAGGTGCTGCTTATGGATTGGCTGGTATCATCAAGGGTATGGGAATCCTGGCATTGAAACAATTAGATATTATGACTACACTGACCAACGCTATTCAAGATAAAAAGAACTATAGGCACAGAGAAGGAGCACTATTTGCTTTTGAAATGTTATGTACAATGTTGGGTAGATTATTTGAACCTTATATCGTTCACGTGTTACCACATTTATTATTATGTTTTGGAGACTCCAGTCAATACGTAAGAACAGCTACAGATGATACAGCTAGAGTAGTTATGAGCAAACTCTCTGCTCACGGTGTTAAATTAGTATTACCCAGCTTATTAGCAGCATTGGAAGAAGATTCTTGGAGAACAAAAACTGGTAAGTATTATGATATTAAATTTATATACATATATTACTCCTATTAAAAAAACATTAGAATAATAAGAAAAAATTTGTCAACAGGGTCTGTCGAGTTACTGGGTGCAATGGCATACTGTGCACCAAAACAATTAAGTAGCTGTTTACCGAGTATTGTACCTAAGCTCATAGAAGTACTCAGCGACTCCCATACAAAAGTTCAAGAAGCTGGTGCAGAAGCACTCAAAGTCATTGGCAGTGTGATTCGTAATCCCGAAATTCAAGCTATCGTGCCAGTTTTATTGAAGGCTTTACAAGATCCATCTCATAAAACAGCAACTTGCTTACAAACACTTTTAGACACACAATTCGTTCATTTCATCGATGCTCCGTCTCTAGCTTTGATTATGCCTGTCGTACAACGTGCTTTTCTAGATCGTTCAACAGAAACTAGAAAAATGGCTGCTCAGATCATTGGCAATATGTATTCACTAACTGATCAAAAAGATTTGACTCCTTACTTGCCAACTATCATTCCTGGTCTAAAAACGAGCTTATTGGATCCCGTACCTGAAGTACGCAGTGTATCAGCTCGAGCTTTGGGTGCAATGGTTCGTGGAATGGGAGAATCTAGCTTCGAAGATTTATTACCATGGTTGATGCAAACGTTAACATCAGAAACAAGTAGCGTGGATAGATCTGGAGCTGCTCAAGGACTTTCCGAAGTAGTCCGTGGTTTGGGTGTAGAAAAATTACACAAACTCATGCCTGAAATTATTTCAACTGCTGAAAGAACGGACATAGCACCGCACGTTAAGGATGGTTACATAATGATGTTTATTTACATGCCCAGTGCATTTACTACCGAATTCACACCTTACATTGGGCAAATAATAAATCCAATATTGAAAGCACTTGCCGACGAAAACGAATACGTGAGAGAAACCGCACTTAGAGCTGGTCAACGAATCGTTACTTTATATGCGGACTCAGCAATAATGTTGCTTTTACCAGAATTAGAAAAAGGTCTTTTTGATGATAATTGGCGTATCAGATATTCGTCCGTTCAGTTGCTCGGCGATCTTTTGTATAGAATTTCGGGTGTATCTGGAAAAATGTCGACTGAAACAGCAAGCGAAGATGATAACTTTGGAACAGAACAGTCACACTTTGCAATAATCAATGCTTTAGGTGCGGAAAGACGTAATCGTGTGTTGGCTGGTCTTTACATGGGTAGATCGGATGTAGCTTTGATGGTACGCCAAGCTGCTCTTCACGTTTGGAAGGTAGTTGTTACGAATACACCTAGGACATTGAGAGAAATCCTACCAACTTTGTTCACCCTTTTACTGGGATGTTTGGCAAGTACGAGTTACGATAAGAGACAAGTGGCTGCTAGAACGTTGGGCGATCTTGTAAGAAAATTGGGAGAAAGAGTACTTCCCGAAATTATACCGATTTTGGAGAAAGGTCTTCTGAGTGAACAGGCTGATCAACGACAAGGTGTTTGTATCGGTCTTTCTGAGATTATGGCAAGTACAAACAAAGATATGGTACTGACATTTGTTATCAGTCTAGTACCTACTGTTAGGTAAGTATATCTTATACCATAATTCACACATTCACGCATTAACAGTGAATTGAAACTAAAATAAACTTATAATTCTAGAAAAGCATTATGCGATCCATTGCCCGAAGTTCGTCAAGCCGCAGCTAAGACGTTCGATGGATTACATTCGACAGTTGGTGTTCGAGCTTTAGACGATATACTTCCTGCTATGTTAACCCAATTAAATTCACCGGATCAAGCCGAGGCCGAGAACACTTTGGATGGTTTGCGCCAAGTAATGGCGATTAAATCACGCGTCGTATTACCTTATTTAGTACCTCAGCTAACAACTCCGCCAGTTAATACGAAAGCTCTCTCGATCTTAGCGAGTGTCGCTGGAGAAGCATTAACGAGATTTTTACATAAAATTTTACCAGCTCTACTGACCGCACTTTCCAGTGCACAAGGAACTCCAAACGAAGTTCAGGAATTAGAGTACTGTCAAGCAGTTATTCTTTCTGTTACGGATGAAGTTGGTGTTAGAACAGTCATGGATCAATTAATGGAGGCTACCAGATCAAGTGATGCATCAAGACGACGAAGTGCAGCAACATTATTGTGTGCATTTTGTCGCGACACCAGAGCAGATTACAGTCAATATGTACCTCAACTTTTGCGTGGACTTATACATCTCTTTACCGATGAGGATAAAGATGTATTACAAATGAGTTGGGAAGCCCTAACTGCAGTCACCAAGGCAAGTAATTCTCATAGTTTATTCATACAATTAAATTTTATAATTAAGAAGAAAAACTTTAATAATATTTACAAATAAAATCTTGTTTTCTTTAGACATTAGCATCGGATCAGCAAATTGCTCACGTACAAGACATTAGACAAGCTGTTCGTTTTGCAGTATCCGATTTAAAAGGACAAGAATTATTACCTGGATTTTGTTTACCTAAAGGTATCACGCCGATTCTTCCTATATTTAGAGAAGCAATTCTGAATGGTTTACCAGAAGCAAAAGAACAAGCTGCTCAAGGATTAGGAGAAGTCATTAAACTGACCAGCGCATCCGCACTTCAACCAAGTGTTGTACATATCACTGGTCCATTGATTAGAATTCTTGGTGATCGTTTTAATTGGAGCGTCAAAGCTGCAGTACTAGAAACACTTGCTATTTTACTTGGCAAGGTTCGTATACTTTTTTTTTATTAATATCCTTATTTAAAAAAATATATATATATAAAAATAACATGATCAAGAAATTAATAATTATTTTTGTTAGGTTGGCGTCATGTTGAAACAATTTTTACCTCAACTACAAACAACATTTTTGAGAGCATTGAATGATAGCAATCGTCAAGTGAGATTAAAAGCAGCATATGCTTTGAGTAATTTGATCGTTATACATACTAGAGTGGATCCTTTGTTCACTGAACTTCATACTGGTATTAAAACTGGCGATGATCCAGCTATAAGGTCAGTCAATTTTCTGCCAAATTCTAACACCATAAAAATTAAATTACAACTACTAGAAATTTACTCTATCATTAATTTTCAGAGAAACGATGTTACAAGCTTTACGTGGCGTGCTTACACCTGCCGGTGATAAAATGACTGAACCTATGAAGAAACAAGTATTCGTTACATTAAACAGCATGCTTGGTCATCCAGAAGATATTACAAGAAACGCAGTAGCCGGTTGTTTTGGTGCTCTTTTACGATGGTTGAGTCCTGAACAACTTGCTATCGCATTTAATGATAATCTTTTGTGTAAGTTTATGATTTATACATATATATATTTTTTCTTATTAATTATTCATTTAATTGTCCCTGAAAACTCTTAACAGTCTAGATTTAAATGATAATGTAGATTACTAGCAATATCATTAACAAAGTATGAAGTTTTGCATATCTTCAGTCGTGCAATTTAAAATGGTTCATATAATTAATAATAATAATAAAAATAAAAAAATAAACCATTTATGCTAATATCGTTAGGTAACGACGTCAATGCTGATTGGACGCTGAGACACGGACGTTCAGCTGCACTTTTTGTTGCGTTGAAAGAATCACCAGCCACCGTGTTCAATGCTAAAGAAAAGGATCGCGTTTGTACAGTAATTTTATCGTATTTAGCTGCGGATCGAGTGCAAATAGTCATGAACGGTGTCAGAGCTTGCGGTTATTTATTCCAATATCTAATGCACGAAAATATGTCGGTGCCTCAACAAGTTCTTTCACCATTCGTGAGGGTAATTATCACAAATATTATCACAACCAGACAATCGTAATGAATATTAATCTATTTCTATATTATGTTTTAGTCAATGAACAACAACAGTAACGACGTAAAACAATTACTCGCTAGAGTTTGCATTCATTTAGCACGAAATATACCACCTGCAAAAATGTCACCGGAATTATTGAAAGCTTTATTACCGATGTTGGTAAATGGAACTAAAGAAAAGAATGGTTACGTAAAAGCTAACAGCGAACTTGCTCTAATTGCTGTACTTCGATTGAGACAAGGAGAAGAAGAACACCAGGTTTGTCTTATATTGTAGTACCTTTAAAAGAAATATTTAACAATTAAGTAATAATATTTAAATTTAAATAAAATTAATAAATTTTATATTAATTATTTTTCAGAGATGCATGGCTTTCTTGGACGCTGGTGCAAGAGAATCATTGTCGGACGTCGTCAGCAAGGTGCTTCGTAAGGTTTTATCTCAGCCAGAAGGCAAGATAGAAGAATTAGATGATACGTTACTCACGTGAGAGACATTTTACTTCCCGGGGCTTAATACTTGTTACGTACGTTCCAATAACCGTACTATCGAGCATCAACGTCAACAACAACAATACCACCAACAACAGCAGCAGCACAATTATTGCTCGTCGTATGTTAGTAACATTATAAAAAATATAGTTCGTTTAATATCATTTATCGGTAAACGATTAAATAATACCCTGTATACCGATCGTTCGATGATGATGATGATGATGATGATGATAATGATGATGACAATGACAATGACTATGATAATGTTGATGGCATTAAAGTTACTTAAGTTAAAATCTCTCGAGTCTAAAGAGATCTTTCAAGATCATTCGAAATGGACCGAACGAAAAGAAACTGTATTAAGGAAGCAAGCTGGTCATATTCTCTTTTATTGTAAAAGGAACTTCATGAGAATTTGGTTATGTTGTAAAGATTTATCGGAACACAATAAAAGTATGTATGCGACATGCTGATATCTTTAACAAACAAAAAAATAGCTTTCCTTCGTATGATTTGACAAATTAAAGGCGTTTCGTCTTTTAATTATGCTCAATATTAGAAATAATCATACGTCGTCTTATATATACATATAAATATATTATATTATATTATATAAAGACGAGGAAATAGCAAGATTGTTGTTTGTATAACAAACAAAGTACAACTGTGTCTGCCTGCTTCGGAAGAGAAGAAGAAGAAGAAGAAGAAGAAACGAAGAAATAGAGAATGAAAAAGAAAGAAAGAAGTAATACAGAAATAAGAAAATGTATGTTCTATTGTTCTTCTATCAACGAAGAAAATGAAAAGAAAAATAAATAATCGGTGTATAGTTTGCATTTACCATATAATAATATTAATAATAATAGTAATAATAACAATTCATCCTAGATATGGATGTTACGTCGGCTTTAGCCATCATAACGTAAAAAATGTGGTTCTTTCTGGTTTGTCATTCTAAACTCTCGCTTTCTTGAAATCGTCTTACTAAAAGGTACAATCAAAGCACTTTCGTATTTTTTATTAAAGGAATCTTATTATTCTTACACATGTGTTTTCTCTTTGGCTTATTCGTAAAAAAACAATATTTTATATATAATATTTTTTAAAATATCACATAAATATATATATGTATGTGTGTGTTTGTGTGTATATAGATATGTGAGGATTGGTTGTTGTTGTTTAATTTTTTGAAGGATTTTAATGAGTACATCCTGCAATTCAGCTTGGATTAAATATTAAGAAATAATCTTTTGAAGGTGCTCTAGAATGTTTTCTTTTTATTTCGTCCTGAATAGTGGGATGCACTCATCAGATACAAAATAACGACCATTCTTATACATATATATAAATACATATACATATGTATACACACAATTCATCGGACAATCATATATACTGCGATCTTTGTACTTTTATATTATATCAGTTCGACTTCGCAAGAAAATTTTCATGAAAATCGGGGATACATCACAAATTTGATGTGTTTCCTATATAAATCTAATTTTAACTATGCTTTACTCCATATATCATTTTCATGCTAAAATAACAGCTTTGTTAGCTTTCAACTCACTTCGAAGAAAAAATATCAGAAAAACATAAATAAAAAATGCGATTGAATGACCGAAATAATTGCATGACAAACCAGAAGAAACGCTAATTTTTGTTTTCATTATTAATATTTTTTCCTTTTGTAATTTTAGAAAAGAACGGAAAAATACTATCGGAAAGGGCGACCTAGTCGCATTTCTTATCGTTCCTAATTAATAATGCACACACAAAATTTTATTCCCAAGCCCCGGGATTATACTCATCCATCGAGTCATGTATCATAAACACACACATAAGTGCGTGCAAAAGAGAGAAATGGATTTATATATATATATATATAAATATATATATATATGTGTCGAATATAAGTTTTTTGCTTGTTATTTTTTTGTGGCAATTTATATTATTTTTTGTTTTTATTTAAAAAAAAATCTTTATTTTTTGTATTTCCTATTCTATTCCTTTAATTTGTTGCCATTTTTAAGACTGACGATCTTACTTCTGTCTTTTAATATTTGTTCGGAATGTACATTTTTGACTGCCATATAACTAATATAAACAAAACTTTTTTTGACATAAATAATTTTCACAAAACTCGAAAACCCTAAAAGCATGGAACACTAGGAAATGCAGTGTATTTATTTGTCATTAAATTTGGAATATTTCAACACATTTCTAATTTTATTAAAAAATTGTAATATTTTTATAAAAATATTTTCGCGATCCTTTTCTTTTAAATTTGTTTTTTTTTTAAACAAGGATAGCTTAAAATAATATATAATATATAAACAATTAATAATTACATACCGTTTATCCTAATATTTAATTTTTTATATAAAAAAAACACATCGAAAAGTTTGAAAATTCTTTTCTTTTCTATTATTTTTTATCCTGTATTTTCTATTATATTTCATGCATTAAAACGGGTCCTACGTTTTACACGAAATTGGATGATTTATCACATTCTCGAGGAGAAAGAAAAAAAATCTTTTAAATTTGTTAGAGTTATGTATGCACGAATGTATGTGGTTATAGATAAAATGGAAAATAGAAAAACATGTGCAAAAAATAAAAAAGAAAAAGATTGCCTGTTATTGAACGACCATTTTCATTTAGAAACATGATTTATAAATATTTCCTTTAATTCTCTATAGTTTACTGTTATTTTTTGTTAAATGATTTTACGCTTAATTGATCCTAAGCATATTCATAATGATAGTGTTTTAGCTTAACACTTTATACAATACCAATACAGTATTCCATAAAATTCCAAATGCAATACTAAAAAGGTATTGTACATCAAATCTTTTAAATTGCGGGCCCTAATCTCAATTATATCCTTTTTCGTATGAAAATTATTTAAAAAGATTAGATTCCAAAACAATTTTATTTCAATTAACAATTTTATAATACAAATTTATTCACTTCTATTTATGTCAATATATATGAGTATTTTGTTTAATAAATTTTTTAAATAAATGTTCAATATTTATAATGGAAGCAGATGTTCGTCAAGTTTACCTGTTTATATAAGGGTACGTATTGATATTTTATTATACATAAATACTAGCCAAAAATGTTTTAAAATTATCATTTAGTCAAAAACAGCCAATTTTACTATAAATTAATCAAAAATCTATCAAATATTAGAAAGTGCAATTTTTTAAAAAATGGACAATTTATAAATATGAAATCATAATAAATAAATATAGATATTTGTTATTCAAGAAAAGCAAAAAAGAAATAGCTTATTGTTAGAAAATCCTCAAACGTAAGGAAATCCGAAAAAGGAAACGAAATCATAAGGACTAGCTATAGAAGATGAAGTAAAAAAAAAGTTCTGATATTATCTATACTTTGCAAAAGCTTCCTTTTACAGTAGTACCGGAAATACCTTTTTATTACTCCTGCGTGATCGCTAAGAAAATAAATGTTGTCGTATTTGTCTCTGTTGTTTAGGTTTAACGCTCACGAAATTCATATCCGGATATACACACATACACCCCAACACTTTTATTATTTAATAATTTTATTTGGCTGCTATTTGTTAAGCTAGTATTTACAATAAAATTAATACTTACATGCATATGCATAAAATTAATTATTAATATAATACATATATCAATATTTAATCCTGAAACTATCTTACCCCTATTAAATTACTGAACAATATTTATTTTACAAAATACTAAAAAGCCAAATCATTTTATTTCATTAATTTTGATTTTTTTAGTTAATTAAATATCTGATTGAATTTAAGTTAATTTCCAGATAATACTAAAGTGTTTTAAATGAACGAAAAATACAGGATATCTACAACGAAACACCCTTTTCTTCAGAACGATATGTGGGTGTTTCATTGTAGACAGGCAACCACCATAACAAGAAACTAAGAAAACGAAGATAAGAGAAGATAAGTAATGACATAAGTCACATGCAAGAATTCAACATAATGTTATATATACAATATTAGTTATCTCACAGGATTCTAAAATCTAGTAAGAACAAAAAGATAGCATTTACCCTGTTCGACCATCCTGGAAAAACAATACACTTCTGCGATAACTTTATACATCATCTAGTCATAACTCATTCGTTTGTTTATTTAAGAAATTGTCAATCCAAGAGTCGGTAAGAATTTGACCGGGTAGGGAAATAACATGTGCTAACAGTATGCATCTTATCTTCTTTATCTCTTTAACGTGCCGTTTTTCCACGTACGCCTAATATTTCTTCGTTTTCTTTTGATAACATTTTATATCGGAGGAAATGGTCTTTTACGTGGAATTTCTTATTATAACTTTCTATTAATTTTGATGTATATAAACCTTATAAAATATATATATATATATATACAAGAACATATAAAAAATTAGATCATATTTGTCTAACTTCTTGCAAATACTTTGATAATTTTTACAAATGAAAAAAAGGAAATTCATGTGCAATGTATTAGTTTTTTTTTTTTTTAGTTTTATTTTGATTATAGAGTTTATTTCTAAAGAATCATTGAGAAAAGAACCAAAAGAATAAAACTTCCGTTTAAGAAAATGTGTGTAGATAAAATGGGGATCGCAAAGTGGCCACTTTAAGGTTTTGTCAAACTGCAGTCATGTTCTCGTCGTTTGACACCACAAGAGGAACTGTAGGAAGAAGCTACCTATATTTTATGTAAATACGTAGGTGTATATATGTTTTTTAGTTATGTTTATCCTTTAACATGGTTGTTCTGCAGAATTCCAAAATTAGGGTTGATGTTTTAAGGGAGACTATAAACTTCGTAGAAAGCAATATGCTTTCGATCTTTCTTTCGAGCCACTCTTCCGTGGACTCGGAGATTTATAAACAATTCCTAATACTTGAGAAATATCTCAAAGTAATTCTTAATCGTCCAATGGTAAAATCATTTTCTCAAAAATCTATTCAGCGAATAAAGTAGATATACGTGTGTACTTATATAAGTTAATTTTACGTTTTCAATAATTTTAATTAACATTTTTTAAATCTCTCTCCAAATTGTCAAATTAACTGACTACCTCAACGCTGTCACAATTTTATGAACTGATAAATTTCTATTTAATAATGACACTTAATTATTATTAATGTAATTTGTCGAAAGATAATATAATTGATATTACGTGTATATACTTTGTTTAATATTTGTTTTATAATTTTGACTAATATTACGAATAATCGTTTAGAAAGATTCTTTATAGAATACGAAAAGAAGAGGTATCACATCGAGCGATAATTTTTAACTCACCGCCTACGATTTTAATGATCCCAAGAAATGGCGACTCCCTCATTATACGTCGCATAACTGTCGCGTGCGATGGACAGGAAGTAAGCCGTAAAACACATTTGTCGGCTTCTTTTCACCCATCCTCTCTCTCACTCTCTTCTTCTCTTTTTACACCTAACGCTTTTTTTTTTCAATAAGAAGGACCACCCTGATCACAAACCTTTTACCGATTACGTATTCGATATATCAAACAAATCGTTTGTTCACACATATATTACGCGTTTATATTATTATTATTATTATTAAATAAATAATATGAATATATAGAAATATGAAAATACAAATGATCATTTTCTTTTTCTTTCGTTTAAAATATTCTTAAAAACGTCATCTTTTATACCAAGGTGGACAATATTTGATTTTATTATTGGATTAGGGCAACATTATTTGAACACTAATAACAATAAGATTCAGTAATGTTTAATGAGATCCAAATAGGAATAATCGACATGTTTGTTAAATTCTTCAAACTAAAAGGGAAGAAAAAATAATTACGATTATAAACCTGAATGGATTTACCTCGTTATTCAAAAATAAAGCGGAATAATATAAAGAACAAATGATGCTTTCAAAATTGCATGGTCAAGAGGTTTCTTAAGAGATTCAATTTATTTCCCTATTGCATCTGAACAAATACTTTCAACTTTTTGTTTTTCAAAACTTATCTTTATTACAAAGGAAAAATTTAAATGAAAACAGACTTTTATTTGTAAGATAAACAAATTTTTATTATTCATTGATAAAATCAACAAACAAACATGTCCAAAGAATGACCAATGAAAGTGAGAACTTTCTTCTCTAACATTAAACATAACTTATTTATAAATTATTGATGTACGTTAATAAATGAACGTTGAGATAAATAATACATTAACAAAATCAATATAATTTTTTCTCGAGATACCGTTATTCTTATCTTACTACTTGATACTATCGTTAAAGATACGAACACCTTAATCGAACAAATGAAAATCATTATTAAATAAAATGTTGTGAAGAAGTTAAATGTCTTATCTTTCTAATCTATGATAATCTAATAAGAATGAATATCAGATAACATAATACATTAATCATATTCTCGTTAATATCACGATATGAAGTAATACTTATTACTTAAGTAGTAATATGATATCACAGACACCATTATTGAATAGGAAAAAATGGATATTTTTGTAAGTATGTAGAAATAAAAAATATCAAAGCAGGTAAATATTTTCAAGTTCTCATCGGAACGGTAATCGAAGATAGATAATATCTGCAATATTATTTTTTAACGGAATCGGTTACATTTAATCCATGATTTTTGAAGCTATGACAATAGAACAATGGTTGCGTTTCATGGGCCGACATTTTAAACGTTTTTTCACAGTCGCTAAAAGGGGTGGCGAAGAAGAAGAAAAAAAAGGGAAAGAAAAAGATAAAAGAGAAAAGTGTTTAGATAAGTATCAAAACAGAGTGGTTCTACTTGTCTCGCCAATGGACAATCCTGATTTTATCTTTATTCTTCGTCCCCGAGCCGAGAACAAACTATTAACAACTGTCTCGACGGATTTTGTTATTTACGGTGACGTTTCCCCTTCTTTTGGCATATTTTGTATGCACGTGAACGTTCCTCGCTGTTTTTACGGGGGGTCTCAAAAAGAAATGTTTGTTCTTAAAATTGCTGCAAAATGAAACATTGGTTTGTCTAAATATAAAATTCTCCTATAAGTGCAACTTAATTGCCTTAAACATTTCGTTATCTTTCAAATCTGAACACACAAATTGATCATATTTTAATGATAAATGATAATGCGTCAGCATTGTATAATATATTGATTATTTATTTTTTTAAATACCGTTTTATATTCTAATATAAATCATATAACAAGAGATATAATTTAAAAAAAAAAATGTTGTTCACACTCACACACACATAAATTTTATTTTAATGTTAAATCGATATGACAGGTGAGTGGGCTTACACATGTTAGAAAATCCACGCACACTCATTTAGCACCCAACTAGCAAGCGTGATTTATAGTTACTTGTGGCAACCCTACCTACTTGTTGCTTCTAGGATGTAACGTTCCAACCAAGTAGGGGAAGGAACCAATTGGGTAAGTTAATGGGCGCGGCATAACGGTCGAGGGCGGTAAACTCGACCAATCAGAACGTTAGATTCGTTGCAATATTTGTTACAACACAAAATATACACTAGGGAAATTTTTTTCAGTATTTATATGAAGATCAAGAGATTTCAATAGTCAGTCTTCGTTCGGCTACCGGTCGAGTAACTATATATTTTTCGGATATTATTTCGTGTAATTTTTCTTCCCATTCGACGAATTTTATAAATCTGTGAAAAATTTCTTTGACAAAATTTTGTAACTTTGTTATTACATATATATGTATAAATGTATGTGTATATATATATATATAAGTGGTCATGTTTCCGCATTCGATACCCCTAAATTCATTAGTAACATTACCGTATAACCACCCACTTCAATATCAGCAGAAAGAACAACAACTAATGTTCGACAGACAACAATTTGAACTAAATTGTCATAGATCAGGTATTTGTTTCATTTATTTAACATTTTTTTCGATTTTTCATTTAGATACGACATCAAAGTTTTGTTTTATTTAATATTTTTTCAAAATACAATACACAAATGTTCGTGCCCTCGCACCATACACATGCGCACGCACACATACACACGACACGATCGAACGAACGTGTGTTCATATATATACATAAATATAACTTTAACAACAAGCTTTCTTCGGTCAAATTCATTTTTATTAAAAAAAAAAAAAAACAAAAATTCTAAAAATTCTGTGCTTTAAGGCTTAGGACTTTCTTACCCATCTGGTCTATATAAAATAATATTATCTGTTTCATTTTCCTTTTATGGATTGGTCACTTTTCTACTAACGTATTTTCGAACTATTCAAAAGTATACAAAAAGGTCGAATTTTTCTAACGTTTTAAAGTTAAAAAAGTATTCGATTGCTGTCTTTTATTTCTTGGGTCCACTCATTCACTCATTCTTTTTCTAACCATCAACGTGTTGCTTTACTTTAGTGATCTATAGAGAACTAGTAATTCAACGCACAAAATAAAATAGAATAGAAACGAGGTTTATTACATAAGCACATAAGAAAATCGAAGTTAAAAGCAAAAAAAAAAAAAAAATACAACAAATAATTTTCTATTATATTATACTTCTGGTATGTATATAATAAAGGCACATTATATTATAATATATAATATATATATTATTTTAGTATTTCTATAAATGGAATGTTTTATCTCTTCTGTCAAAAATAATATCAGATACGTAACCATGCAATTGCACTTACGAAACTGTTCCTTTGATTTGCATATTGTTTTAAAAAGTAATCCAACATAGAACTGAATTAAATATAAAAAAATTTCCTTTTTTTTAATTATATTATATTATACATATTTATATATATATATTATATGTTATTGGAGCATGGTGAAAATGTCGAGATGAACTAGTGTGAATCTATGTGAGAAAGAGAGAGAATCGAAGAGCAACGTGGTATGTAAGAATGACTTGTGTATTGATGCGTGATTGGTTTGCTAAAGATCACGCTACATAATCGACAAATCAGCAAAAAGAAAATGTTACAACCCAATAGACGATACTTGTTAGACGAATACAGTAGACGTATTGTGCATAGTAAATATAGTTATTAGACGAGTACAGTCGAATTTAGACGATAGAAGTAGACGTTAGACGAAACTAGACAAGTCTAAGATAGTATAGACGAATAGAGACGTACAGATGAATACACGATAGATGAATAGATGGCAGCATAAAAAAAGTAGAAAAAAAACGAAGAAACGAAGAAAAAGGAGGTGACAATCGAATAATAGACGAAAGACTTGACAAAAAGGGAAACACTATGGACAAAACGATTTAAACGAAACGAAAGACGATCGAAGACTATTATTTTTCTCCTTCCTATTATTATATTATAATATCTGTGTAGAATATTATTACATTTTTATAATATTCACATTAACACACCTTGATTTATTGACTGAAACCAATTTGACTCATTTCAAATTTTGTGTTTCCTATATATATATATATATATAAAACTTAAATATTATTCTTGATAATAAGGGTTTTCATAGATAGGGGTTTCAACCCTTATCATCAAGAATTATAATTTTGGACGAGAGAAAATACTGATTAAATATTATTTTGTTAAAATATATATCGATTGTTATACTCTGTCGTAATGAAATATACGTAAATAATTTATTCTCTATCCACCATTTCTTCATTAAAACAATGTTCGTCAATTTGTACAAAAAAAAAATAATGAACAAAATATCCGTAAATCTAAGTGTCAAAATATTATACTACATTATATATAAAATTATACTGAATACGCGTAAAGATGTATATTTAATACAATATCCTTAATCTTACATAAATTTACATGAAATAAAAGAGACAGGTAAAAGTCGTATAAGGATAACAAGGTAATAGTGTATATAGTAATCGTCAATAGTAGTAGTGTAGTAGTATAGTAGTAATACTTTGGCAAAAAGGCGAGAAATGAAAGATCCTTACGAGATCTTTTTCTCTCGGCAAGAGATGAAAGATGCCGACCGTCATTCGAGCGAACAATCCTTATCTGCCGACTGGACGGTTTGATCGTGAAAGAAAAAAAGAGAAAGAAAGAGAGGAGGAGACGACTGTGTGAGACCACCGAATGTTGGCAATTATCCTACTACTCCGAAGCGATGGGTTGAGGGGGAGGGGCAGAGAGCACAATGCCACGACCGCAGAATTGTGGAGACAAGTGCGGCGGTACGTTGGGGGTTCATTCATGCGAGGAATCACGCGCTCCGATGGAGAGTTCCCTTTCTCAAAGGGAACGAACCAACCCTCTTATTTACTACTAACACCACATTTGTGTTACCTCATCCACAACCCAACCATCTTTAAATATCCCTTTCGACAAATTTTACTTATTTAAAAAGAGAGAACAGAAATCCCTCCCTCCTCCCGACACCCCTTTGAATTAAACAACATTTTCCTTTTTTATTTAATTATTATGTTAAGTATCCTTTTTACAAAATAGTTATATATGTGGTCTGTGTGGGCGCATAAATAATAAAAAAAGATGATATGATGAAAATGATATTTAAAAAAAAAAAAAAAGAAGAAGTGTTGTATATGTGTATTCAAGATATATTAGTTTATTTATATATATATATATATATATATAAAAAATATCACAAATGTAATAATATGATTTGTTTAATATTTACAGGAGAATTACATAATATAAATTATGGATTACCACCACTTACGGAATTTTACATCCAAAGATATCCCCTTCCTTACGAAGTTAAAGTCGAATTGTATAATTCATCACTTTGGAAAAAATTTAATGCGGAAACTACGGAAATGATTATAACGAAAAATGGCAGGTAAAAAAACAAAAATATATATATATATATTTTTTATTCATATAGACTTTGTGCGCGCTCTTTCTCAAAAACCGAATATAAAAATTATCACAAATAATAGTTTCCCCCCCCCCCCCATTATGTTAATAATGAAAACGAATTAATTTATTGAAATGAAAAAGTATAAGACAAGACAAAAAAAAAGAGAAAGAAAAAAAAAGAATCATTATATTATAAATAAAAGATTAGGCTAAAGTGAAATTAGTAGATTATTTCTTTGGATGATTCAAGAAAAAGTGGATAGTAAGCAGAACACAACGGTTCTTAGGAAGAAAAGAAGCTTTGTCTCCAAAATTCCTTTAGAATGGTTATCCAGCGTGTCGAAATGGTCGTCGGTTCGGCGCCAAAAGACCACTCCCCTTCTGTCGGCTTCAAACTTATTTTTCCTCGATACTACCACCACCACCACCACCACCATTACCAACCAACCACCCTCGAAAGGTTGCGAAGTAGGTAGTAGCATTCGTAAAACGCCAAATTACTCAGTTTAGAAAACAGGAAAAGTACTTTTGTTCCTCGAGAGTAACGTATACTTAAAACTAATGCATTTTCCCTTTATCCCTTCCCCCTCCTACCCCTGCTGCTGCTACCCCTATTGAATCGTTTTATCTTTTTTATTTTTTTCCTTTTTTCTTTGTCGGTCGGTCGGATAGAAGAAATAAAAGAAGAAATATATATTCCAACGAACAATAAAATCCACCCTCCCCCCCGCGCCATATTTGTGTTACGTAATATTATTTTTAAATATTGTTTCGAATAAAAAAGAAAAATGGGGAGGGGGGGGGTGAATAAATTATTGAATACATTTCTAAATTGTACGAGTATTTTTTCACGATAATATTATGAAGCCGGTATGATTGACAAGTAACGCAGAAAAAAGGAGAAGATACAAAAAGAATTCCTAAAATTAAGATACGATATAACGTAGGCGTGTTCACGTTCTAACCCTTTCCATATCGTTTTTATCACGTCGATCAAAACTTCTTATTTTTTTTTTTTTTTTTTTTTTAAGTAAGGTGCATCCGTACGACAAACGGAAATATTACGAAACTTTACTTCCGGCGGCGTGACAATCGTCCTCCTATTGTTTTTTCCGCCTTAAACTATACGTAGGTGTTAGGTATAGATTAATCATTCTTTTTATTATTATTATTATTAATATTATCATATATATTATAATAATAATGAATTTTTACAAAATAATCATAAACAGAATGATATGTTTAATAACAATTATTTAAAATATATAACAATTTATTATACAGAATAATATTAAAAAAGTTTGAGACCAAATAATACAGTCCCAAATTTTTCTTTTTTGGAATGCTTGCTACATCATCCTGTATAAACAAAAGAGAAAGAAATAAGAACAAAGAAAATCCTAAAACAATAGCGATAACATTCGAGAAAATCCGTTAAAAATAATTCTTTTGTCAAAGCTCATGTGGGCCTTATTCAAATGTCACAGCAAAAGAAAAGTGTCTCCTGACTTTTCTAATCCGTTCATCCGTAATTTCCGTTCTTTTCAAAGAAATGATTTTTTTTTCGTTGCATCAATGTACCATCTGCAAAACACGTGTACATACTATATCTATGGTATAACTAATATCACTTGCAAACTCGCAATAAACAGAATTATTTATCCGTGACATGAGTAAATTCTTTTTTTAATATATTTTATTATGTTTTTTAATTTCCAGTGATTTATTCACAGTGATCCAATGTGTTTGAACATTGTTTTTTTTTTTTTAATTTGACTACAAAAATGAAGTGTATTATTTGAAATTATTTCTTTTTTTTTCTTTCTTTTTTTTTTTTTTTCTTATATAGCAACTGGAAGGTTAAAAAAAACACATTAGCGCAGAGTTACTATTAATAAATTAATTTAGGGAACACCACACACTGTTATATGTTTATCAGTAGAAAAATTAGGCACGTGCTCCTGACGCATCGGGTACTTATGCATTTTTAATCGAGACATATCACACACTACTACTTTCTTTTTTGATACCTAATCTCAAGCACAGAACAGCATTTCTTTTTCGAGTAACGCCAGACACGAGAAAGTTTGTCACACGAGAGAGACGATGGTTTATCATACGTCGCGACAGTGCAATTCTATTTCCCACTTAAAACGTCCACCACCTTTTGTGGTGTCTCTCAAAATAAACTTTTTTTTCTTTTTTTTTTTTTTTGCTATTTACACAGTCTCCTTATATATTCATTTTCAGATAAGATAAAGGAACAGAACACATTAAATTATTTATTTATTTTTACTAACCGTTCATCATTTTATTATATTATCAATCTTTTATTCATTATATTTGATCGGTATATTAATTAATTCAATAATAATTTGTTATTTAAATAGAAATAATTATTTACGACAATATTTTTTTAAAACGAATGATCCCTTAATTTTAAATATAAAAACTACGTATTGTATTATAATAAATATTAAACTTGTATTTTTTTTCTTTTTTTATTTTTAAAACTATTTTTCAAATAATTAATAAATTCTCCATTAGCCGAGATTTTTTGCTAACAAATACAATCTCTATCGTAAGAAAAATATTTTTCTTGTAGCTTGGAAAAAAAAAAATTCAAAAATTACATTCTTCGCGTGACTCATAAACAAGTTAGTAGTGGTGTTCCTTATTACATGCTGAAAAATAGAGATAATAAAAAGGGATCGAGGGAAAAAAGAAAGTTCTTTAGAAAAGGGAACGCAATTAGGTATATGCAAACAAACCCCATGGGACCACCGTAGATTGATTTTTCGTTGACTTATCGGATTATCCAGAATTTTGAAATGCTTGCGCATTCGATAAAATTGAATAAATAAAAAAAAGAAACAAAAGAAATGAAGAATGTCGAAATGATACAGGATGCACCTTTTAACATAAGGAAACAAACAAACTTTTCTCATTATAACATTCTTCTCTCTCCCTTTTCTTTTTCAAGAATGGCGCTAACTTATCAAGAAAAAATGTTAAACGATTCCGAATTCTTTTCTTTTCGTATTCCATTTTCTTTTTTTTTTTTTTTTCAAGAGAAAAAAAATACCATTTATCAAAGATCCGTCTTATTATCTTTTTCCGATATTTTGTTTCCTTTATTTACAACTTATCTCTCACTAACATCAATTTATCGAATGATTTTTACGATCGGCGTAACGAATACAATTCTTTCTCTTTCTTTCTTTCTTTCGTTCTTAGTTTCTCTTTTTTGTCTAATTGAATTTCACAAGATCGATTGTCTCTTTTCGACCCTTGACAAAAGTTAGCTACCGTATCTTGAGGAAAGATTTTAGCGAAATAAGCTCTTACCGGCGACATGACGAAGCAGATGCAACGCAAAGATAAACTTGTCTCGTCTACGTCCTCAAAAACTGACTTTTCAAGAAAATGATTTATATTTTCAACCCTAAAAGCTTCTCTCAACCTTCGACCCTCTTCATCCTCTTTAATCTATTTTCTTCTATTGTTGAGAACAAAAAAAACAAATAGTAATTTTCGACGATACGAAATAAATATATAAATAAATTAATAAATGTGTTTCATTATATAAAAAATAAATAAAT